GAGCAGGTGGACGACGATTCCTCAGGTAGGGGTAGAAGGTTTGGAGGTCGTATGGTAACGTATCGCGGTATATCGTGATATGTCGTGGTATATCGCGACTAACCAGGTTATCACATAGTAACATATCATAACGTGTTATGGTATATCTTGACGTATCGCGGGATAGGTTTATAAATGACGACGTATCGCGACGCGTTGTGTTGTATGGGCAGTAATTGCAATTCCGTATCGCGATATGGTACAACGTATGGTGACATGTTTTTGGCAAATCGTAATATGATGCAGTATATATCGTGATGCATTGTGGGATATGGCAACGTATCGTGATGTTATGCAATGTTTTGCAACATGTCGTGATATATCATGATGCGTTATGGCGTATCATGCTGCGACGCGATATTTGGGACATGTCACGGCACATCAGGCCATGACGTTCCACACCGTGAGATCCCGACATATCGTGACATATTGTACTCTATCGTAACATATCATGTTATGTCGTGATGCATCATAGCATATCGCGACGTCATGTGTTCTATCTTGATGCATCACGACGTATCGCACTGTCGTATCGTGACTCATATCGCGACTTACAGACTCCGACGCCACCGCCTCCTCCGACAGCGATGGGGAAACGCCCAAAGGGGCGGAGCCGCCTCCCCTTAAAAGGTAACGGGGTGGGCGTGGCCTCCACAAGCCCCGCCCTCTTTTTTGCCAACATGGCCGCCACACTCTGCCTCCTCCCCCCCCGTCCAATAGGAAGCGCAGCCCCACAGGGGGCGGAGCCTCACCGCCGCCCGCCCCCAGCCTGGCTCCACCCACTTCCTACCTGAGCACCGTGAGTCACTGCCACCAAGATGGCTGCCCGCGGGTGGGAGCCGCCATCTTGGGGGTGCAGGGGGGTTGGGAGCCGCCATCTTGGGGGGGGGCGGAGGGGAGGCGGTGGGAGGAGGAAAGGATTTTGGGTGTGGGGGCGGCCATTTTCTAATGGGAGCCGCCATCTTGGGGATGTGGGTTCCTCCATCTTGTGGGGGGGTGGGGGCCGCCATCTTGGAGGATGGCAGCCACCATCTTGGGGGAAGGGGGCCGCCATCTTGGGGAGTGGGCACCACCATCTCGGGGGGGGGGGGGGCCGC